TTTAAAGACGTAACTAAGGTAAAATTAGGTCTAATTCAATATCACTGGTGTCCTTATAAGAAGAGATTAGACCACAGACCCACAGACAGAGAGGAAAGACCATGTGAGGACACAGTGAAAAGACAATCACAGCAAGCCAAGGAGAGAGGTCTCAGAAGAAGCCAACACCTTGATCTTGGACTTCCAGTATCCAGAACTGTGAGAAAATAAATTTCTGTTCTTTAAGTATATTCTTATGGTCAAAAAAATCTAGGCTTGAAACTTGGTTTCAGCACAAAAAAGTTTTGTAAAATTGGCCATGTTACTTGAGCTTTCAAATACCTTGAGTTTCAAAGGATCAATAATAATAATACCTACTAAAAAGGAGTCATGAGAAAATATACCTGATGTACTCATAGTAAATTTAGTTACTATTAAAAATTGTTACATCATTGGGGGCGCCTGGGTGGCTCAGTTGTTAAGCGTCTGCCTTCGGCTCAGGTCATGATTTCAGGGTCCTGGGATCGAGCCCTGCATTGGGCTCCCTGCTCCGCGGGAAGCCTGCTTCTCTCTCTCCCACTCCCCCGGCTTGTGTTCCCTCTCTCACTGTGTCTCTCTCTGTCAAATAAATAAACAAAATCTTTAAAAAAATAAAAATAATTTTTACATTTTTTGAATGCTACTTGAACACATCTTAGATGCATAAAAATATATCATGAGGTCCAATAATTTTACCCAACAGAAAAAAAAATGCAGACACAGATACACACCACCAAATACTGTTCACAGTGTGTTTTATATTAACATAGAGTTCAAATAATCCAGGTATTTAAAGTTAGAGTAATAGTAAGTAAATTGTGATATAACTATAGATAGAATATTTTATAGTTTTTAAAAACACTGTAATAATATTTATTACACATTAAATGAAAACAACAAAAATTAATATAGATGATCTTAACAAAATAAAATATACCTAGAAAAAAGATTAAAAGGGTATAGAGTATGCCAAGTTATTAATAGTGGCTGCCTTTCCCTAAAAGTATAATGGATGGGATTTTTTTGTCTTCTCTACTCTTCAGTATCTATTTTTATTACTTTACTATTTCTCCTTTTATACATGTATAGACAGATATGCATACAGATACAAATATATTTGTCTATACATCTAATCTCAGTTTTAAAAGAAAACTCAGAGGTACAAACAAAATTCCCAGTAGAAGCATTGACATGGTCTCTATGCCCTTCCAACATTTGAAAATGTGAGCTCTCCAAAGACAAGCAATATATATTTAATAATCTCTTTTATTTATTTTTTATTAAAGATTTATTTATTTGAGAGAGAGAGAGAGAGCATGAGCAGGAGGGGCAGAGCGAGAGGGAGAGAGAATCCCAAGGAGACTTGATACTGAGTGCAGAGCTCGACACAGGGCTCGGTCTCACAACACTGAGATCATGATCTGAGCCAAAACCAAGAGTCAGGTGCTTAACAGATTGCACCACCCGGGTGCCCCTTAATAATCTCACTCTGTTTTTTTTTTTTTAAGATTCTATTTATTTATTTGAGAGATAGAGACAGATAGTGACAGAGATAGCAAGAGAGAGCACAAGCGGGGAGGGAAGGAAGAAGCAGGCTCACGCCGAGCAGGGAACCCGATGTGGGGCTCGATCCCAGGACCTGGGATCATGACCCAAGCTGAAGGCTGACCCAGTGGACTGAGCCACCCAGGCCCCCCTTAATAATCTCTTTTAAGTCACATAGGACTCAGTAGCACTTGGGTAGCTCAGTCCTTAACGGACTGAGCTCAGGTCTGCCTTCAGCTCAGGTCATGATCCCGGGGTCAGGGGATCAAGCTCCACATTGGCTCCCTGCTTAGTGGGGAGTCTGCTTCTCCTCCCCCTCTACCCCTCCCCCCACTCGTGCTCTATCTCGTTCTCTCTCTCTCAAATAAATAAATAAAAATCTTTAAAAAATCATGCAGGACTCACCTCAGTGAAATATCCTGAGTAGTTGTTAATAAGTGATTGAATATATGAATATGAGTATGACTATACAAATAAGCAAGTACTTGTGGTATAGATCTGATAAAGTACTACTGTAAAGGATTCTTAGAGCTTGCCTGATACGGGTCATGTTAATCCAAAAGGGTATGTTTAGGAAAAGAATAGATTGGGGCACCTGGGTGGCTGAGTCAGTTAAGCTAAAAGACTTTGATTTTGGCTCAGGTCATGATCTCATGCATCAGGCTCCATGCTGGGCAGGGAGTCCGTTTAAGATTCTTTCTCTCTCTCTCTCTCTCCCTCTGCCTCTACCCCCACCTCAAAAAATAAAAATAAAGCGTACAACTCACTTATTATTAAAAAAAGAAAAGGGATATATGATACATGCATTCTTAGTCTTTTGAGATTTAAACATGCTGTGTTAATAGAAATTAAAATATTTTCTAATATTTTTATGACATTTATAAATTAGTTCAATGCAGAATATATGTGTGTAGATAATGAACTCTTCAAATGTTGAGCTTTTTAAATGGCTCTTTAAGATGGAAACCTATCACTGAACTTTTCTATCAGTGACACATTATGCAGTGATAGCAAAATAAATAAGAAGAGAAAAATAACATTTGAAATGAACCGCAACTTTTAAGAGACTGGTACCATTCAAGATATGAATTTTCATATTGAACTGGTAATAATGACCAACATGTTCTGCATTCTTTTAGTTGATATGAATGTCATTCTAAAGAGGTCAGGAGAAAATGCATTAAAATCCTCTATAGATCAGTTAGACTTCTTTGCTCCATGGCCACAGACTTAATTATTACACTAACAAACATATGCCATTAGGCACAAGAAGACTAGGTAAAAATTTATGATAGATTTGCATAGCATCTTTCTTACCACTGGGAAACAACGTAGATTTTTAAGCAAACAATGTCTTGAGCAGTATGATAGATTATATGGGAAATTCAAAAGAAATATAAAAGTTATTTCTTCTTGTTTCTGATTCATATCTTACTGCATCAGCAAGAAGTCCTAGATCAATCTCTAAAAAATAATAATAGTATCATTAAATTAACAAATATCAAAATTTTGATCCATAATTTCTTAATGAGGTAGAGAAAAAGAGAATCCTTATATATTGCTAATCTAAGTGTAAACTGGTGGCATTAAATCTCTGTGGCATTTTCTGTTCCAACTAAAATGCACATAGCTTTTGCCATAGCAATCTATTTCTAAATATTCTGTGTACAGATATATGTGCATTTGTGAAATTATACACACACACGAACATACACGAATATTCAGTGCAGAAGTGCTATAGTCTTATTGTGTACCCTTTTGGTTGTCAGTTTTGTCATCATCTCTGGCTCCATGAAGGGGGACCTGCACAACTGGAAGCTCACAGAAGGACTACATACAGGCTGAACTCAATGGCTTGGGCCCTCTGGGCTTTGGTGGAATCGTGCCTTTTGGCTTTGAGGGGATTCTCCGTGGAGTAGCTATCTGTTTCTATGCTTTTATAGGTTCGAGAATATCGTTACCACAGTTAAAAAAGCCCAGAATCCCAAGCGTTCCATCCCCAAGGGCATTATGATTTCACTGCTCATCTGCTTTTTGGTGTATTTTGGTGTCTCTGCGGCACTTACACTCATGGAGCCTTACTACCTGCTTCGACCTGGGAGCACCTTGTCTGAGGCATTTCTCCATATTGGCTGGGCCCCTGCCTACTGTGTTGTAGCTTTTGCAACTTTCTGAAGTATTTTTGTCAGCATCTATCAGGGCTTTATGCTCCCCATACGGTGGGTGATAGACATGATGGCATTGGATGGCATCCTGTTCCCTGTGCTTGCCAAGAAATGTACCCACACATACACCCACATTTTGTTCTCTGGGATCCGTTGTATTGTTTCAATCATGCTACTCTTTTTTGGATTCGCTGATCTCTTGGACCTCAGGTCTACTGTGACCTGACATCTTATTCCCTGGTAGCTTTTTGTGTTGTCATCATCAGGTATCAGCCTGAGTGGACGAATGAAGAAAACGAAGCACAGGTGCAGGAGGAGAATGGGGGAAATGAAGCGCAGATGCAGGAGAGTGGACCTGCAGCAGAGAAGCTGACTCTACAGGGACTCTTCTTTCCAGGCAGCCCCACCCCCACTCCACTCTCTGGCAGGGTTGTCGTTGTTTGCTCCTCCCTGCTTGCTTTGCTGCTGACTCTTCTCTGCCTGGTGCTGGCCCAGTGGCCAGGTCTGCTCTCTGGAGACTCAGTGTGGATCACAGTGGTTGTGCTGCTCCTGGTGCTCATCGCTGGGATCACTGGGGTCATCTGGAGACAGCCACAGAGCTCCACTCCCCTTCCCTTTAAGGTCCCTGCTGTGCCTGTCCTCCCACTCCTGAGCATCTTTGTGAATGTTTACCTTATGATGCAGATGACAGCTGCCACGAGGGCCCGAGTTGGTGTCTCCATGCTGATTGGGTTTGCTGTCTACTTTGGGTATGGGATCTGGCACAGCCTGGGACCTTAACCCCACTTAAGGGCCCAAACTGTAGACCTTGAACTCAGCAGTGCCTGTACATATTTGGTTTGACATCATCACACCTGAATGCAGTCTGGTTCCCCTACACAATAATGGGGAGTACTCTTGAGTGTATGGAAATCTAGGGCTCCTATGAGATATTGGTGGGGGAACACTAATAGAGCTCTGTATTTATGGTACGGTGAAGGATGTGTCTTGGCTCTTTTTCCTTTTTTTTTTATATTCTACTTTTCAATTGTGTCTATAGCCGCTCGCTGGCTTTTACAAAATTAGTGTTAAGAGAAAATTGAAAAAGTGAAAAAAAAAATAAATAAATAGAAAAAAATAAAAGAAACCCCTGGGGCGCCTGGGTGGCTCAGTCGTTAGGCATCTGCCTTCGGCTCAGGTCATGATCCCAGGGTCCTGGGATCGAGCCCCACATCGGGCTCCCTGCTCCGCGGGGAAGACTGCTTCTCCCTCTCCTACTTCCTCTGCTTGTGGTCCCTCTCTCGCTGTGTCTCTCTCTGTCAAGTAAATAAATAAAATCTTAAAAAAAAAAGAAACCCTTTATAAAAGAGACCCCAAAGAGCTCCTTTGTCCCTTCTACTATGCGAGGACACAAGGAGAATTCTACAACCCAGAAGCAAGCATGCTGGCACCCTAATCTTGGAATTCCAGCCTCCAAAACTGTGAGAAACAAATTTCTGTTGTTTATAAGCCACCCAGTCTGTGATATTTTGTTGTAGCCATCCAAATGGATGAAAACAAGCAATTTTATAATGAAATATTTAAAGCCACTGAAATATCTATTAATATAGGATTAATTAATACAATATTGCAGCCCCCTTCAATGAGACACTATGCAGTCATAAAAAGAATGAGGAACTCTCCACTTATTATTATAGATGTAAGATATATTGAAAAATGATGAAAACAAAATCTCTAACTTGTAGAAATAAAAAGAACATGCACATTCACCCGGATTCTGTAGAATACCTCTGAAGATATGAAGAAACAGATGATAACAGAAATCCCCAGAGAGAGGTACAGAGCAGCTGGGGAAGAGAAGTGAGACAGAAATTTGTTTTTCTCTGTATACACTCCTATGCTTTTGACTTGTGTTAACATGTGTACCCCATACCAAGTAACTCGAACTATAAATTACTAAAGATGTTAGTGATTATCCTATTTTTATAATTCAAAAAAGAAAGGATTCAGATGTTTTAATAACTCCTATGGCACAGAGTATAAGCATCGCAACACTGAATAATAACTTGAAGAACTACTTCACTTCAGGTCAACAAAATTGTATTAGGCACCCATTATGTGATAGACTCTTACATACTAGGAGTGCTAGAGATGTGTTGTGTCTTCATCGGAGAGCTAAGAATGTTCCAGGAAATGAGAAAAACACAAAAGAGAGACAGCTCTATATTAACAGAGTCTAAGTAGCCCACTGTCTATCTAATATTGAAAATATGCTATCCTTAATTATTACAAAATGTGAACTGTCCAGAGCCATATTTCTTAAGGCATTTAATTTGTGTTACCCACACGTTTTCATTAATTCCAAATGACTATATAAATGAACAAATATTATTTTTATATATCCTTACTTCTCTTTAATAATTATTTTTAATATAAGATTAATCATCAAGATTAATCATGATGTGATGCTAGATCTTATGTAAAAATAAATAAGATCACAGTGTAATAGGAAAGACCAAAAATAAGTAAATTACTTCACACTAAAACTGATGGCAATTTACCAGCATATTAGTACTTAGGCTTTTACGAGTGAAAAATTAATCAGAAGGAATACGATTGTTTATTTTTTTAAGGGTATGAGAGTAAAAGATGAATGGTGTGAAAAACTGATAGTCATTAAATACCTTACTAATTAAAACTCTTCCACAACTTGCTATATGAACAACTACTAAAGTAGAATTGGACTGGGTCTAATTAAGAATTTCTCTTTTTATGGTTCTTCATAGATGCATGGTTTTAAAGAATGAAGACTGTGATAATAAGCAAATTGCCAATTGTTATTTTAATCATGCCAATCTTTGCATAATTGGTAACAGCCTTAGACACATTATTGATAAGAAATGTCAAGAAATGCCTGTTGCTTTCATTTCCTCAATACTTTCAGGTTGCAAAATAGTAAAAAGTCATAATAAATGGGCTGATTTTTTTCAAGTAGTATTTACAGTTACACAGTAAGGACCATGAAGATGCTAAGTAAATGAAACTAACAAATTTCTTGCCCTTAATAGAGAAGTCATTCTAGCGGGTGAGTCAAACAATAAATAAGGGAATAAAACTATGATCAAGTTAGAAGTTACGGTAAGTGCTGTGAAGGAAAAAGAGCAGATGGTAGTAAAATGCAAAAAGAGGTGAGAAAGTACAATCCATAGAGTAAAGTAAGTCATCTCGGAGAAAAAGAGATCAGAATTGAAACTACGCTGAAGCTTTATGGTCAAGAGAGAGAGCGCCATGATGATACTGGAGATGTAGGAAGGGACAGATCATGCCAGTACTTGGCTTTCATGTGAGATACAAGAGGAAGTCAACAGAGGCTCTAAGAATGAAGGTACCATGATTGAATTTATATTTTTCACACATCGCTCTTGGTTCCATTTTGGGACTAGGTTGGAATGGGACAAACACAGAAGTAGGGAGAGCACTAAGAAGGTTCTTACAGGGCTCCAGGAAAGGTATGGTGGTGGACGAGGGTGGTAGCCTTGGGAATTAAAAGCTCCGAATGTAATTGCTGATGGATTAGATGCAGATAATGAAGAAGAGGAAGAAACCAGGCAATACTCCTAGATTTCTACTTGAGCAAGTCGGTGAAATGTGGTGTTATTAAAAAAAAAAAAATAGGAAGAATAGGTTTGTTTTTTATTATTATGTTACGTTAATCACCATACATTACATCATTAGTTTTTGAAGAATAGGTTTTGAGAGCAGAGGGCAGTCAATTGTGTGAGTTTGAAGTGCTATAAGATAACTAAATGATTCCACATAGGAAGTTGGATATGCTAAGAGGAGAAAGTTGAGATATAGATACTGTTGCAGGACCACTTGTATTTATTCCAATAATCAGCTGACATGTCTTTCTTCCCAGCTACAATGAGAGGGCTGATACATTTCTTGTTCATCATTGCTCCCCAAATTTCTGATACTCACTTTTAATAAAAGTATAAGTGAATGAATTATATGTCCTTAAACCCCAGGCTTGAGCATGCACATTTTTCATTGTGCCATGTAAGAATTAATAACCTTAACAATATTTAGCCCTTTTTTATGTTCCCAAACAGCTGTATCAACTCCTAAAATTGACATTCAGATCTGGAAAATATTTTAAAAGTCACCTAATAAAACTCCTCTTTTCACAGGTTAGGAAACTGGGGCTCAGACAAAGAGTTAATCAAGATTACAGTTGTTAGTATCAGAGTTGAAACTAGACCCAAGTTTTCTTACTCCACAACTGGAGATCATTCTATATCCTTCTGATCAAAACCCAGCAAAAATGGTTCAACTAGTTTGCATGGCATAGATATAACTAGAAGTTTCACAGAAAATCACAAACACCATAAATTATAAACTTGCTTAGAAAACAAATTCTCAAATGTGGAATACTAACACACTACTTTTTAATTTACTCACTCAAAGGACTTCATAAATTAAAGAGAAAAAAAGCCACATACACACTACATGACTAAATGTTCTTTGGTTTCCAAGGAATTCTCTCAGCAGACCTTCAAGTAGAGACATTTATGATGGAAGATGAAGTCACTTTTAAAAAGAAAACATTGGTTCTTTTGAATATATGGAAAACCAAATGTGTGTCAATATGCTGCTGAGTCAATCAGACCACAGTAACCATACCAGAATATTCCTCAGTGTTCTCAGACTTCTGAATACCTATTCCATTTTCCCATATTAAAAATATGCCTCAGTGACAACAGCAATAAAAATGTGTACAACAGAAACATGGCCACACTCTAGAGGCACATCGCAGATCTCTTTATTTCTAGCACAGAGTTGATGAAACCTGTGTTACAGACTATGTAATTGTTCATAAAAAATGGAACTCTTTGGTCTTTTATAGACTTAAAGACTCATTGTCATTTATAGAGAACTTTGAAATACCCAAGTGTTCCTTCAGTGCTTAAAAACACAACAAATTTGGAAGTTCATGAATGCCTACAAAACACTTAGTGATAGCTAAGCTTTAGAATATCACCATCATACAGGGTTTTTCAGCTATGCTAGACATAGTTTAAGAAAATGCGGGTTCCCAGAAGCTGACCAATGCTTTATATTGCCTGTAAATTCAGCCATGTGTGGCACATCTGGAAGGGTAGTCTGTCTGTAGGAGGAAATGAGGAGACTCTTGTGAAAGAATTAATCCAGAGGGAATAGAGTGTAGATACACAGTACGGTCCAAGGAGATTAGCACCACCATAAATCCAAAATCTCCAACCTCAACTTGGAACTAAACAGTGACAGAGATTCTATGTTGTTTCCCTATCCAGTATTCATTCACATCCTCCCCAACAAATTATTGCAAACTCTGCTCTCCTAAAATCTCTAAACCCTGCCCTCTCCCTTTCTCTCCTCAGATGTTTTTACCTCCCACCTCAGAGAGTTATTAGAAGCAATCAGATATGAAAACCCGTGGCTTCCCACTACCCAAATCAGTAAACCTATTGACCTCCACAGACATCCCTCTTCCCTTTACTGCTGTTTCAGGAGAAATGACATCCTTCTTCCAATTCATTTGTCAATTAGTTCAACAACAAACCATTGTTGAATGATTCGGATTTCACCTTCCAAGTTTTGGGGGAAACTCACCCACCAGTTATCTTCTTTGTCCCGCATCTTCAGCCTCTCCCTCTTTACTGAATCCTTCCCAGCAGCATGTTCGAATTTGCCTCACCTTAAAGAAACAAATATATGGAAAACAAAGCACTTATTCCTTTCATCCTACCTCCTCCTAGGCCTCTAGCACCTACCTATTTTTGTCATTTCCTTCCCAAACTACTCAAGATGTCTGTACATCCATTTCCATTCCTCAATTTAATTGTCAACCTACCCTACATGGCTTTAAGCCCAAACATTCTTCTGAAAATGTTCACATATGTATGTATATATGTATGTATGTATTTGAAGTATAATTTTGAAAATGCTCAATTTTAGATTACCAATGACTTGTACATAGCAAAATACAACATATACTTTTCATTCCTTCTCTTGCTTGAAGTATCATCAGCATCCAAAACTGACAGCCACAACCTTTTTCTGGAGATAATTTGTTTCCTTGGCCTTCCTGACTCTATATTCCCCCTCCCTTTTCCTCCTATTTCTATGGGTTTCCTTCTCAGTTTCCACTGCAAGCATGACATCATAGTGTCCCACAGAGCTCAGTCCTAGGCCATATTTTCTTTGCATCAAGTGTACTCTATCTAATCAAAATTAATTACCTTCCACACTATATGCTGATGACTCACAAACCATCTTCATTTCTGAATTCTCTACTGACCGTTAGACCCATTTCCCATACATCCCTGACATCTCTCCTTGAGGAAAGCAATCCGAATTAAATTTTCAAAAACTGGTTATTACCTCTGTCCACTCCTAAAGTGGTCACCCCAATCTTTGTCTTCCGTATCAGTAAATAGAAGCACAAGTGACCAAATTACTCAAGCCACGAACTTGAAAGTCACTTGATTCCTCCCCATCCCTCACACCCTCATAGCCCAACACTACATCCTAAAAATTCTACCTTTTGAATAGCTCTAGAATAGGTCTAATTTTCTCCCTAATCAGAGTTACAGTCATTGTTCAATTACCCTACTGTAATAGTTTCCTGTTTCCTAACTGGTCTACGCTTGTGATTGCATTCTCAAAACTATAGCCAGACTGAGCTTTTAAAATGCAGTTTCTACTGTGTATCTCCCTGCTTAGAAGTGTTCAATGTTTTTATATTTTTACTATATATGTCTGCTTCCATAAATGGTACTATTTTATGTTTTTAAATTTTTCATACATGAAATATATACCATATATTCATCTGGAACTTGCCTTTTTAACTAAGAATCTCATTTTTTTAACATTATCCTCATCAATTCATAAGCTCAAAGGCATTTTTTTCAACTGATGAATTGGGTTCCATTGTGCAACTAAACCAGGGTTTCTTTATTCATCCCTCTACTGAGGGCTGTTATGTTAGTACCACTTTTTTTATTGCAGTGAACAATGCTGTGATTAAGTTTCTTGGAAATGTCTCTCATGTATATGTGTAAGGGTTTCTCTAAAACAGATAGCAAGAAGACAAATTTCAGGGTCATAGGGATTATACATTTTGAACTTCACTAGATACCTCATCATTGCGCAGGAATGATATACTCTAACTTTAGGATTGTGGTTATCTGGAAAGAAAGGGAGGGAGGGAGGAGAAAGGATACGGATTTGAAATTTTAGCTGAAATGAAAACTTTTATTTCTAAAAAAAAAAAAGGGGGAAGTAAATGCAAAATAATAAGCTCCGTGATGATTACAGAGTCATCTAATGCATTGTTTTTTACATTATTTTGTACTTTTAGAATATTTCATAATTTAAAGTATTTTTAATAAGGCTTTCCATGGTTTCTCATTATCTTGGAACAATGTCCAACCCTTTTACTGTGACTTACAAGGTCTGTCCCCGCTCCACCCAGATCTGGTTTTCATTGACCTTTCCAGTCTCACCGAGGAAAGCAGACTGCTCTGGTCTGACCTCCTAAGCTGGGGTTCACTCTCTGGGAGTGTAGGGTCTTCATACACTTTCCCTCTACTTGAGGCATCACTGCTTTTTTCCCAATTTCTCCCACAGCCACTTATTTAATTCCTTCTCATTTCTCAGATCTTAGCCTAGATATTATTTCCTCAGGAATCCTTCCTTGACCTTCTGAGATTATTTTTACCTCACTGTCCCTTCTCATGGCACTCTCCACTTCCTGTTTGGAAACAATGCTTCCATTTGTGATTATTTTTTCAACATCTATCTTTAAACAATTATTCATTGCTTGGTTTACTTATTTGTATCTATCACTCCCTTAGACCCCTGATGGCAAAAATGATGTATTCTAAGCCTTCTGAGGGCAAAAACTCTATTTCCAGCACCCAGCACAATGCCTAGTACATAGGTGTGCAATGAATAGTCACTGGAGAATGAAAGGGTCAGAGAAACATTTGTGAGTAATGCTAAGTAGGGGATTCTGGATCCTACAGTCCAGCTCCCAACCCCCAAAAGACCAATGGAGATCTAGGGCAAAAGGCAGGAAAGTTTTAAAAATAATAATAATAAATGAGAGTCACATTATCATAGATCTGTAAAACACTGAGAGCATAGAGCAGCAAGGCCTTGTGACCCTTGGAAATACATATGATTTGAGATGATATTAAGTCAACTTTCCACGTCTGGTGTCATAGTTGCTGAAGGATGAACAGGGACTGGACACACAATGGTCTAAGCAGCAAGCAGGACCAACCAGATCTGAAATCAAACACTAGATTTTGGAAGAGCAGGAGACATCACTGGGACAATCAGGGAAGTGATCAGAATGGTAGAATGTCATGTCTTGGTCAGGAACTCTACATTTACAGCCCTTGTAAAAAGGTATCAATTTATTAGAGTGGGTAGGGGCAGAGTCATAGAACTGTTGCTCATATTGCTGTCCTATCATGTAAAAACTCGAGTATTTTGTCAATAGATCACAAAATGAAGGCTTGATGAGTAAAATATTGTCACAATTCCATGTGAGGTGGCAGAGCTGGAAATCATACGTATATGCTTTTGGTATATGCTGTTAGTTGCAACTAAAACGCAGACATGCAAGGTATGTTAAATCTTCAAATAAGGGCATATCTAAAGCAAAGAGAAGTCAAGTTTTGCAAACAATCTATGGCTTTCCATAAAAATACCCATTTTCAACTTTGTCTATACCTTAGCAGCAGCTGCAAATGTTCTACTTCTTTTTTTTTTTTTAAGATTTTATTTATTGGGCGCCTGGGTGGCTCAGATGGTTAAGCGTCTGCCTTTGGCTCAGGTCATGATCCTGGAGTCCTGGGATCGAGTCCCGCATCAGGATCCCTGCTCCTTGGGAGCCTGCTTCTCCCTCTGCCTCTCTCTCTCTGTCTCTCATGAATAAATAAATAAAATCTAAAAAAAAAAAAAAAGATTTTATTTATTTATTTGACAGAGACACAGCGAGAGAGGGAACACAAGTGGGGGCAGAGGGAGAGAGAGAAACAGGCTTCCTGCAGAGCGGGGAGCCTGATGCAGGGCTCGATCCCAGGATCCCTTGATCATGACCTTAGCCGAAGGCAGACACTTAACCAAGGCACCCCTAAATGTTCTACTTCATATGCTATGTATATGTGCAGAGCTGAATAAGAACATCTGGAAATACCTCTCACCCCCCCAAAAAAAATCGATTTTGATAAAATGAGTTATTTTGTCTAGCTGATCCTAAGTCACTGAATTGACTGAATTCCCACACTTTGGCTAGTTGTTTTAGTTATTCTGTTAATTATTTCACTGCCAGAATGCCCTTTCTGCATATAAACCTGGCACAGATCATGAAAACATAAGCAGCCTAAAGAGGCAGCTCTTTAAAACTACCATCTCTCACTTTTCTTGCTCTTACCCTAGTGCTGTTATAAAACATATTACTTTCCTGCCCTCCTTAGAAATTCCTTGGGGCCAGTATCCTAGACCCCATAATTCACTCAATAGCTATGTTACTGTCGAGGCAGTGGTTATATCCCCAAGAGTTTTGATAAATAATTCATTGAATGCATTCATTTCCAGAAGATCCACTCAGCTGTGAACCTGGTCCTTCAAGACAGAGCAAATATTGCCTCAAAATTGAAGAGCCAGTTCAGCATAGACCAACCATTGGGAACACTAAAGCAGAAAGACAATCTTTCGTATATAAACATTGAAGTAGATTGTAAGTTCCTGTTTACTTGCAGATGTATTGCTGCCTGCCAGAGCAGCATCTGCAGCACCAGAGCGGGAGGGAGTAGGAGAGCACCCTCACACCGCGGCGGGGGAGCGGGGGGAGACAAGCTCGCGGGCCCTACAACGCTAACTGGCAATGCCCCGGGGAAGAAGCGAAACCCCAGACGGGCGGTTGCTTCGAGAGAGGAAAGGGAGATCCGGGATCCGTATTTCTCCTATTCCCTTCTCTCCCGCTGATAATGCGTTCACTTTCTTTCTGTACAACCTTAGTGAAAGTCAAGGTAACAGTCCCTACTACCTGTTTTTTAAACAAGCAAAATTAGACTCCATTTAACATTTGCCCTGTGAGGAAGACTACATCTTTCAGCACAAATACCTGTCATTCGTGTGGCTGCCCTTCAGCCCCAGCTTCTTCACTGAGCACTCGCCTCTTCTGGACGCTCCCGTCCGTCATCTAAGCAATGGCGTTTATCCTCCCTGGCGACCACGGGGATACAGGCCACACCAGCAATGTGGTCTCTGGGGTCTGGAGACCTCTGCCGCAGAGTCCCTGCTGGAGCGTGGGAGCCGTTAGAAAGACGAGGATTCCATCTGTCCTGGTTACAATGTCACGAGGAGGGGCATGCCAGTGAACTTTTGGCCTCGTTGTTGAACCTAACCTGGTGTCGGTCAAAAGTATCTAATCAATCATTCTTTTCCGTATTCTGTCTTTTCTATCTTGAATATAAGCACATGAGGGAAGAAACTATATCTTTCTTGCTCACTATGTGCCTGGAACATGGTAGTGATTTAAAAAGTATTTGCTGAATGAGTAAGTGTTTTGGATGGATGGATGGATGGATGGATGAACGAATGGATGGATGGGTGGTTGGATTGATGGGTAATAGGCGGTTACTTTCTCATAGATCTTTGGGTCTCATAAAGTTCAATATTATCTGAAATGAATCATTCCAATGTGGTATTAAGGATGCCAATCCCAGAGAGAGGAAGAAAGCCTTGTTAAACCGTCACTTTGACTCCAGTGGGTACAGTTAATGATATAAAAGGAAGGAAGAACATTTAGGAGCTCTTTGTTTATTAAACTCACTAGGACTCCTAATCTGAATATTATTTGCATTATGTAATCTTAAAATTTTTAATTATAGCAAATTAATATGTAAGCATGTTGATAGAGTAGGAGAAACTATTTGCATTTTCACTGGGATCTGCCCTGCCAATCACATCTCTAAATACAATTACAGTAGTTAGTGCTTTTAATCAATTTCTAGACCTCTTTGCTCCATTGACCATAAAGGGCAGTCAAGGAGTTTCATAAGTCAGTCACTATTGCAAAGACTCAGTATCCTTCGCAGTGGTGGGTATGTGCATAAGGAAGAAGAGGGAGGTCAGTCTTCTATCGGGCTTTCATATTCTGTCGGTGGGGCAGCCACATAATTAGAACTATGTCTCTGAAAATCGAAAACATACATTAGTTCTCTCTCAGGTGCCTTAGTGCCACTACCATATTAGCTTTGCTGGCATCTGGAGGGAAAAGAACTTCTAAGGGATTTTATTTTCTGTGAATTTGGGGCTACACATGAACACATTATTTTTCTTTTTTGATGAGGAGTCCCTGTCAATATTTAATAATGTGACCCTGTGCCATAGAAATAGGTTCCCTGGTTGAAGAATAGACATAGGCAACATTCCAGGGCAGGCAAAGGCAAAAAATAACCACCTCTTCTTCTTCCTGCTCTTCCTCCGCCTGCTTCTCCCCCTCCTCGCCGGCCCCTTCTCCTCTTCTTCTCTTTCTTCTTCTTCTTCTATTATTATTTTACCTCAGTAATACTGATCCGAGACAACTGGTTCCACGGAAAATGTGTGTGGACTTGCACATATATATAAACACTGCCAGAAAACAGCAGAAACATCGAACATCCATTTGAGGACCAAAAAAGAGAACTGTTAGACTTATTAATCATACATCTCTCAGGGTTACTGGCACTTGGCAGATTGGCTATTTTAATTTGTTGGATCTTCTTACATTTGTCAGAAGTTATGGCAGAGATTCTTTTCCCTGTACAGAGAAGGGGAAAATAAAGAATGAAGAAACAAAATCTATATTACCACCTGGAAAAAGAAAAAGAAAGCTAGGGGTCTAATGAAACACGGTAAAAGAAAGAATCTGGAAAACTGGTAGTTTGCTGGAACTTGGTGGCTGTTTTTCCTAAAATGAAATAAAGAATTTAAGGCAATGTGAGGTGTGCTTTGACCTTTACCACCTTAGAATTCCAATATACTGAAAAATCTGTTCTCCTAATTTTGATCTTCATCTTTGAAATTGCAATCTCCTCCCAGGACTTTGTTTTATACATAAAGTTATTATCCCCTTTTGAATCAGGTCTGTTGTAAATGTTCATTATAATCAGTGCTGCTTAATTTAGCAGATGGTTGAAACCGAACAATTCTTCTCAGAGGAATTAAATATGGCTATGTCATTTCCCAAGCTGATTTAAAAGAAGTAATCTGAGATCAAGTAATGTTACATTTTCCGTATTAGTTCAGAATGGTTGCCATAGATGTTTTCTTTTCCCCACATCTAAAATTTTGAATATCTGTGATGAACTAGGTTGGTCTTCCATTTTTTTAGCTCTTGATGTTTTTCAATAAAGAAATAAAAATGAATCAGTCATTGTACCTAAATCTCACTTTTGGCTACATGATTCATCAGGAGCCCCAAAAGGCATTTTCCTATTATATTTGCACGGCACTGTTTCTCATCTGTTGTCAGCAAATACTAGGTGGATAGAAATTATTTCTTACATCAAACTGTTGATACATGTTATCTCAAGATATCAGTGATCAAATACAATTAGCATGAAACAGAGACGCCTCATCTACAAAACTTCCCAGTATCTCCTACCTACTCAAAATGCCATCTATGTTTTTGTTCAGTGGATGTTCAATTGGCTAAGGACTGTTTTAGTAGGATCACACATTTTGAAAGACAAGAAACTAAAAAGGGAGAGATTGCTCGTAGTTTCAGATCTGTATCTAAGTAACAGGGTCACTTCTTTCCACCCTGGGGCTCTTCCAAATAGGGTGGTTTTTCTACACCAAGATTTCACTATTCATAAGGTCTTATTCTTAAATGTAATTCAACCTTTTTGAACTTCCAATTTCTATGCTCTCCCAACCTCCTACTGTTCCTGTTGATCTTTACTGTGGATGCAGTTGAAAGCCAAGGGAGGGTAATATTTGAGGGTGTGCATAGATGGTTGATTTAGTCAAGGGAGCTCATTACTATGCCATTATGTTTTATATATAGAAGCTTTCTTCTGAGGAAGTAAAGGATCTTAATTTCAAATAGGAAGTAAGCTTTGCAATTGCCCTGTGAAACTGGCAAATTATATTAAAACAGACAGATGTCTTCTAGGGAGTTTGGGATTGTAAGAGAAAGTAGTTAGGAAACCTGGGTTTGTGTCTGTGTCTGCACTTGCTAGCACTTTAGATCCCTCTGTTTCAGTACACTCTTCACCACCACAAATTATGGCCATGAAGATTAATGGGCTTGTGTGTGTACAAAATACATATGTGTGTAAAATGTAGATACATGGAAGTTCTCTATGAATGATACAAATATTGTTTGTGTGCAAGTTGTTTTTAACATTATTATTGTCAGTAGCCTCTCCCCTCTCTAGAGAGAACTTGAGAAAAAGGAGTGATAAGATGCCATCTTCAGGCATCCTCGGGACCTGCTTAGACTGTTTTCACTACTGCTGCTTCCCACCTGGGCACCCCCCTGAGGAGATAAAGGAACAGATGTATACTCCTCCCCGGGCCTGGTCAGCTAAACACCTTGTATCCCAACCATGAGGATGGTGACTCCTGTGGTGGTGAAGAATGGCAGCAAGGCTGGCTGAAATACATCTGCAGCTGGCTTCTCTAGAGAAACATCCTTTCAGCCTGGCCAAGGGGAAACACTGTAAGCTTTATAGTCAGACAAACTCCTTTTCTAATCATGGTATATCTGTTTATCTATCAGCCGTTGAATCCTGGACAATGACTCAATCTTTGTACTTCTTATAATCTTGGCTCCCTCCTGCTAAATTAGAAAGAACTGAACAACTTTTCTGAATCATGAGTTAAGTGAGAAAACATAGGGAAGCTTCTGACACAGTTTCAATCACTTAGTAGGTCTTCAATAAGTGGTGTGTCCTGTCTCTAGCCCATCCCCAATTCTTCTATTCTTTTGGCAGCATCTATTCATTGCAGACCCCATCTCTCTGAACCAGTACTCCCCACCCCATCCCGCAAACCACCATCTCCCCTAGAAAAAGTATTCTTTTTTTCTTCCTATAAGCTTCAGTGGCATTCATTGGAAAAATTATCCTTTTGTCATGATTTCTCGTTATACAGAGTAGCTTTCTCATTCTTTATTAGAATTCTTATTGTGTTTTGCAAAACAGAAAATGGGAGAAAGAACTAGAGAGCTCTTCCATGCTTTTCTTTTACCCTGTAGGATTTCGGTTTAACTTTCTGTCTCAAATTTAGTTTCATTTGAAAACAAGGCAAAGCTTTTTGTCTGTAGCCCATTCTTTTATAAGGATTTACAAACTTTGACAGTCAGTTTTGCTGCAAGTTTGTATTTATTTTACTTTTGTTCCCCAGTGGTTAAGCCAAGAATACAATCAGTTGTGTGATTCGGAGATAAATTCTAGCAAAACTTATAAAAGAGTAGCAGCTATTAACATTTCATATGGTAAATGAGTCAATTCAAAGAATCAGAATTTAGAACTGTATGGGACCTTAAAGATCACTTACTTCAATACCTTATTTTTAAAGAACTCCCATTATAGAAAATTTTCAAATGTCATGGAGCGTTCTGCTGAACAGATCACATATATTGTTTAAGTTCCACATTATCTCCATTTAATGAATTAAAAAAACTGAGTACCTGAAAGGTTTAATTTTCCAAGATTAAGTGGCATGGAAAGATTTAAAGATTGCTGATTCTCACCTTTGGCTCTTTTCACTTAACAATGATGTGTCCTTTTATATGAGAGGACACTGAGACCAAGGGCTCCTAATTGGTTTGAAGAGGCTGACAGAGCTGGAATGAGAAGTTGGGGCTCCTGAGAATCCAGTTCTGTCTTTATTTTTACCTTATTGCCCATGAAAATTGTAAGAGAAGGGCTTCTGTTATATTTTCTCCTGAGGGTTTTCACTTAATATTGAGGAATTAAACAAAAACTTGGTTCCCAATCTTTTTACTTTGTCTCAATTTTTCATTTGTATTCATGTTTTCTTTTTCACAGTTCTCCACTTCAGTTTCCATTGTATCATTTCCTTTCATTACATAGAACCTTCTCAGACATAAATGCTATTACACACTTAATAGACTACAGTGTAGTGTAAAAATAACTTTCATATGAACTAAGAAACCAAAAAATTCATTTGACTCGCTTTATTGTGACTTTCGCTTTATTGGGACATTCGCTTTATTGTAGTGGTCTGGAACAAAACCCATAATATCTCCGAGCTATGCCTGT